CGTCCCCAAATGACGTGGGGACGCTGATCTGTCATTAAACAATAACAACTGTGCTTATTCATTGGCCGGGACCTGCTAGAAGACTCTGGCAGGTGTCGGCCAATAGGAAACAGTTGGGCAGAGCTATCTGTCACCACTAGCTCCGCCTAATTATTTTTCTTTTGCCGTCATATTTGCCGGCGGTTTTTAAAATTATTTAACATTTTCTTTAATTTTCTTTTAAACTATTTTTTTTTAAATGTTCCTATTTTCTTACATTTTTAAATCATTTTTCTACTTTTTTTTTTTTTTTTTTAAATTTCCCTGTTTTTCTATTCTGCTCGGTACCTTGGAGGTACCGAGCAGAATAGCCAAGCCGAGTGCCGCTTGGTGGCATTCGGCTATTCACTTACTGCCATTCAGCCCCTATGAGAATAGGGGGCGAACGGCAGCGAGTGAGCTGCTGGAGCTTCAGCTCAGCCGATCCAGATGTTGGATCAGCTGAGATGAACTCCTTCTGCACTTCAGCTCAATTGTACAAGCCAGAAGTTTGGCTCACTTCACTTCGGCTGGGTTATTCACTTGGCTGCTTGTTTAGACTTTATAACTTTTTCACAGACTAAATAATATAGTCTTTGTTTTTGTTACCCAACATTTTTGCATTTTGGCATATATTTATGAAGAAAGATTATTTATTTGACACGTTTTATAACAGAAATAAGGGAACCATTTTTTTTACAAGATTTTCTGTCCATTTTTTTTTTATTGTAAAAAATAAAACAGCCAGTGGTTAATAAATACCACCAAAAGAAAGCTCCATCTGTTTTAGAAGTTATAAAAAATGTATTTTGGTACAGTGTTTGATGACTAGTAATTTGTCAGTCAAACTATCACAGTGCTGAAACCTGAAAAATGGCCTGGTAATGAAGGGGGTGAAAAATGGCAGTACTGAGCTGATAAATAAAAGTACAGCTAGAGTGACTGGACACATTCACTCAGGAAATAATAGAACGCTTTTACCAGGAACTCTTGCAACACATAAAGCATAACAGGATTTCTAATTAGCAAATCGAGTTTTCTGGCTGCCTCGACAGCCTTAAAGTGACACTAAAATCTTAAAAATGCATTCAAGTACCTTAACTATTCATAAAAATGTACCTTATTTGTGTATCACTCCGCTGTAGATCCTCCAATCATCTCTGAATTTATAAACAATAAAGGTGATCAGCACCAGTAAGTGTAATGTGGAAATAAGAGCTACTAAGCACTAAGGATATAACTAAATATCTGAAAAATTTGAAAAACAATATTGTGCCGAGCTAATAATAATACATATCTAATAAATGGAAACATATATAAATGAGTCACATATATGAGCCTTCAAACAAATGAGGCATAGAAAATATCTACACAAAGACAAAAAAAGCAATATAGACAATAAAAAGTCTCAAGGAAAAAACAAAAGCAAGCAATGGTGATTGTGCAAAATAAATTCCTCAGATGATTCGCAGCCAATCTGCATATAACTCTCAGGTAAGGATAATCACACAATGCAGGCAGACCTTCACCTCCACCCAGTGAGTGATGACAACAAGTGAGTGCTCACCTGGGGAGGTAGACCCACAGAGCTAGGTCAAATGCGCTTTTTCCCTTCTTAATGGGGGAGGGAAGCCCATGCACAGAAAAGGCGATAAGGTCTCCTCAGATCACAGGTACCAGTATAAATCCAGGTGGAAAGAGAAAAAGGACAAGGACATAGTGTGTAACGTCCAATAAAATGCAATTTATTAAATAAAAAATGCGTACTCAATGGTGTAAACAGTACAGGCATTGGGTATTGCTGGATCAGACAAGCAGGGCAAATAGCAGCAAAGCGATAAAAAAACCTGTTCGTCCGGCTCAGCTCAGTGCAGTGACATCAGAAGCTCTGCCCTGGGTCTGGCTGTACTGATTACACCATTGTGAGTACGCATTTTTTATTTAATAAATTGCTTTTTATTGGACGTTACGCACTATGTCCTTGTCCTTTTTCTCTTTCCACCTGGATTTATACTGGTACCTGTGATCTGAGGAGACCTTATCGCCTTTTCTGTGCATGGGCTTCCCTCCCCCATTAAGAAGGGAAAAAGCGCATTTGACCTAGCTCTGTGGGTCTACCTCCCCAGGTGAGCACTCACTTGTTGTCACCACTCACTGGGTGGAGGTGAAGCTTATCTCTGAATTTATGATGTCACTGTCCTTCCTTCTACATCCATACTACAATCTCCCGTTTAGTTTACTAATTTGTATTTAGTTTGTATTCCATCATGGGAGCGAGCTTGGAGTGGTGGCTGCTTTATAACACACACAGAAAAAAAGTAGCCACCCTCTAGAAGGAAGGACAGTGTCAGCACCAATTCAGAGATGATTGGAGGATCTTCAGCTGAGTTATACACAAGTACGGTACATTTTTGCTAATAGGGTGCTTGAATGCATTTTGTGGATTTAACTCCTGAGTTTAGTGTCACCTGAAAGCTGCAAAAATACATGCATACAAGGCATTCATTCATTGGAGGACGACAGTGGGGGCTGGGATGTGACATCATCTCTCATCCTCTAATTGCAGATCACCTAAAGGTCCCCACACACCTTACGATATCGTACGATAATCGCGGGAAATTCCGTGATCGTACGATTATCGTAAGGTGTGTGGAAGCCGTGCGACCTCTACTACTGTAAGGTCGCACAACTTTTAACTTACGGACATGTTCGAAAACTCGCCGAGCATCGTACGATGTTCGGCGGGTTTGTGGCATGTTCGTACGATAAAAGCCGTACGGGCCAGTGTATGCAAGCGCACACTGCCCGTTCGGCATTGCGGTCATCGGAAGCCCGCCCCTCAGGGGGCGTGGCTTGCGATCATCGCAAGTACAATCTGCCTATGCAAGATAGGCAGATTGTACGTTTTTTTTAAGTACCTTACAACCATCGCAAGACAAAAGTCTTGCGATGGTTGTAAGGTGTGTGCCCAGCCTTATATTCTGTGAGAAAAACACAAAGGGGGGGGGGTGGTATTTATCAAAACCGGAGCAGACAAAATCTGGATCAGCTTTGCATGGCAACCAATCGGCTTCTCTCATCAGTTTGTTCAGTTAAGAGTTGAAAATTAAAAAAAGAAGCTGATTGCACAGCTGTTCCAGATTTCATCTGCTCCAGTTTTGATAAATTCCCCTCAAGGCTTTTTGTGAATAGGCAAGGAGGGAGGAGGGGGAAGGGTTGCCCCTTTTACTACTCTAGCCACATTTTTCTCTCCTCTGCAGCACCTGGAAGCCAAGTACAGTGTGTCGGAGCTGCATGCTACAAGGTATGGATTTTATATTACGCAACAGCCTTCCACATAGAGCATACACATTATACGAGCAATGTTAAACACCTAGTGCTGTGTGTAAAGAACATTTTTTTCCCAGAGCTTTAAAAAATAGATGTACTCTCAGAGAAAGTGGCCAGGCCTGCAGCCCATGGAAAGGCCTGCAGGTGGTCAGGAATGGAAGCCTACAGCTGTCCTGACAGCGAAAGGGGAACCTGGGAAAGAGTTCTAGGAAGAGTGACTCTACTGGAAGGTGAAGTAAAGTGAGGGCTGGGACCTGGTGACTCTCCTGGGAGAAGAAGATGATGTCTACTAACCAGCTAAAGCTCTGCTGTACACAGAGTCGCCCCATTTGGCAACAAGGCTCTCTGTATTGTAAAGAAGGGAAGTGGTCGGTGAGTCTTGAATCTGGACTGTCCTCAGGTCTCGTTCACACCTAGGCGTATTGCATATGCGCGTCTGTCGCGTGTTTTTTTACTGCGATTCGCGGTAAAAAAGTTGCGTCTGTCGCGCGTTTCCAAAGGCTGCTTGGCTGTATCCCAATGGAAACGCGCAACAAAACGGCCCAAAGTAGTACCTGTACCGTTTCAGGCGTGGGCCGTTTTGTAGTGCGTTAGGGACGGGTGGAAATATGCCAAGGTGGGAACGAGACCATTGAATACAATGGGATTTATTTTTTTGAGCGTTTTGTAGAGCGTTCGTCGAGCGTAGAACGCGCTACAAAACGTTCAGGTGTGAACGAGGGCTAAGTGTCAGTAGCCCTTAACCCTCTCTCCCATGTGAGCTGTTGGAGGGAAAAAATTTAGAAAATCCTTAAAGTGACTGGCGCCCAATTGTACATTTGCATCCACCTGCCAGCTAAGAACTTACACCTGGGGGTAAAATGTCAACCCATCCATCTATCTATCTATCTAATCCTGCACAGCTATAGAAAATCTGCCTTGCAACACTGGGGATCCCTGGTTCGAATGCCGGCCAGGTCACTATCTGCAAGGAGTTTGCATGTTCTCCCTGTGCTTGCATGGATTTCCTCCGGGTACTCTGGTTTCCTCCCACACTCCAAAGACATCATGGTAGGTGCATTGGCTCCTATCTACTGTAATTTGGCCCTTCTATGTATGCATGTGAGATAGGGACCTTAGATTGTAAGCTCCTTGAGGGCAGGGATGCGTAAATTGGCGGCACTATATAAATATCAATTATAAAATAAAAAAACAGTGGATTGGCCTAGTCAAGGAAATATTTCAGCGGTAAAACAGATGCAAAACCAATTTCAAGTCTCCCATTTTCTGAGAAATAATATTATACTAAAATATACGAGGAACAGCATTAACTTCAAGTTGTTGATGATATATCACGAAAATGCCCCTTTATGTCTATGTGCTATAGCTTTGCTTAATGAATCCAGACTTGCACTTCACATCTAAGAAGGAATCATTTTAGAGGAATGAAGCTTTTAAGGTTATTGGTTCCTTTGAGTTTGAGGAGAAGACAGTTGGGCAATGATTTCATCTCAGCCACGGTCTATTTCTTCATGCCCTATGTGCCTGTTTGCAATCAAATATATCATAATAATGGTTGAAGGTTCAGAGAAGCTGCAAACACCCATATTATTGTATTTATATAAACGGAAGCAGAAGCTGTCACTTCCTCCTTTCTGTAGAGCTGTAAGTTTGCTAGAAAACTGTTCTGTTCTCGGAGGTTAAACAACGGCATTTAGATTTGGTAATGAAAGACGAATATTTATTTGATGTAACCCCAGGCAAAGGTAAGCAAGCTCTTTGAATCATCTACATTCACACAGTCTCTATCTTTTAATAGGTAACTTCTTTCCTTTCTTTTTTTCCTCTCGTCTGACTCACAGCTGGTTCATTCTCATCAACTCACTTTCTAAAAGAAACACTCCAGTAAAGAAAAACCTTTCATCCAGTTATATGTTCAATGACTACCTTTAAAATATTTCCCTGAATAGACAGTCCTTGGTGATATCAGTGCACCCCTTATGTTGTGTATTTGATTTAACCTGGAAACAAAAACTTTATTTTTTGACTGTTTTTTAAACAAAGGAAACATGCTTTAAGCGAAATATATGAATTACCATTGCTTTCTTTTGAAAATGCAAATTGACTGGCTGTCATTTTTAGCTGGATTTAGTGCATTTTAAATCACAAAAATGACATGAATTCACAATAGCAACTTGCATTTGTATTTCTACTTTTACTGGCAGCATGCTTGTTCTGGGTCATAGGCGCAAAAAAATTAAATCTGGTTCAGGTTTTCAATATATGTCTAAATTCAGTGTCATCATGCAGCTCCAGTAAAGCGTACACATGTACCTAAAGTCAATGTTTTGCTTCTGGTTTGTTTTAAAGTGAAATTGAAAGTATAGCTTAAATTTCAGTACAGTCACTGACGTCCTGTCCATTGCCTAAGGTAAATAAAGCAGACCTAGACAGGACCCTCTACTACAGTAGATGGCAGGCCTGCAGAATGAATGCTTTGTGTACATCAGTTCTCTGTAAACTGGCAGTAGTAAGCGGCATTGACTTCTATAAGCTAATGTATGTGCATCAACCATAGAAGCACAGCCGGCTGAAAGAGAACTTTGGGATGGGGGTTACTGCAATTAAACTTAAAATGTCAGTTCTTCTTTATTTGTATCAGTTTTCTTTCTGAATATAGATATCTTTATTTTTTTTCTTTCACCTGACATCTTTACAAATCATGTCAATGGGCTTTTTTTAAACAAACACAGCCATTTCCATCCGAACACAGCTGCATGCGTTCAAAAAAAATACAGGAGGGAATTTAGCAAAACTGGTGCATCTTGAGCAGTTGCCCATAGTAACCAATCACCTTCTTTCTTTAGTTTGTTCAGTTAAACCTTGAAAGTGAAAGATAGAAGCTGTCAAAGTTTACCCTGGAAACAAAAACTTCAACTTGGTTGTCATGCACAGCTACTCCAGATTCAGGACAGGTTCACACCATTTTCCGAACCAGATCTGGTCTGGAAAATGGTGTGAACCTGCCCGCAGTTCCAGTGCAATCCAGACCAGACAAAATGAGACAGGCAGTATTTTTCTGGTCTGGTCTGGAATGGACTGCACTGGTGTGAACAGAGGCCAGAAATAGCATAGGGATACATTAGGTTGCATTTTGGGTCTGGAAACAATCTGTTCTGGTCTGGAGATGATCTTGATGTGGTGTAAATGGGCCCTCAGTAATGATCACTCTTGTTGTGGAGGGAAGGATCAGCAAATATTTCACACTTCCACCCCCCTCCTGTCTGTCACTGGAGCTGCTCTCTCCTCCCTGCAGCTCTCTCCTTCCTGCTGGATTCTGCAGTCTGTGACTCCTCTGATCCCCGCTGCCTCTGCCAATACAGGTGGGGAGAGCAGCGGGGGCTGAATAATTTCAACCTAAAAAAAAAAGACTATTTTAGGTAGTTTTATCTTGAAATAAAAATTAGAGTGTATTATCTGAGAGACAACAGCTACAAACAGTTTTGAGAACACCAGAATAGGCTGCAAACTTGGAGACCAAAAACAAGATTTACCCTGTAGCAATCTTTCAAAATGGCAGCACTTCTAATAGTGTCCGAATCAGCACTAGGTCCTATTTATTCGGCAATCATGCGGTTGAAGCAGTCTCTGTGAGTTGAAAAAAATTCTTAAAAGCATGGCTGAAGCAGTGATGCCACTGTTTTTTCTCCTTTCAGTGATGTGAGGATCAGAAGCACGTTGGTCAAGAGAGGAGATTATGTCACCATCAGTAAATGTGGCCCAAGAGGTTGTTCCGCAGCACCTCCTTGAAGTGGCACATTTTGTGCTTCCTCGGAGATGGTGGCAGTAGATATGCTATTTCCCTACTGTATAGGGGATCCAATAGGGTGGCCACACAATAGTGGCCCCTCACTTTTATGCACCAAATCATGGGGCCTATGCGCATGCATTTTAGCATAGAGTTCGGCACAAATTGGCTGCAGCAAAGGATCCGGAGGACACTGAGGACAACAGTGTCCTCAACTATCTCACCTCCACCTATGTACAAAACCTGTGGTTTGGAAAGGATTAAACATCTACCTTGAAGCCTGCCCCACTTCCTCCTACTCCTCATTGCCTTCACCTCAACCCTTATCCTACGCCTTGTTTAGCTCCTGCTGCCTCTGCTTTGTGGGGATGAAGGCAGTAGGCAAAGGTTCCTGCTGGCCATAAGAGAGCAGGAAGTCCTCCTCTTTCTCTTGGTGCTGTGCCTCCAGTACCCAGTCTATAATACCACAAAGTGTGTACTCCGGGAGAAACACAAGAGTGATAATTAATGTTGGTAATCCATGCTTTGTTGCAACTCATCATTCTCGTCTCCTCTTTAAAAGGTGTCAAGATTTTGCACCGATTCTGAATGATGAGCCCCTTATGTGGTGAAAAGAAGCTCAGCTCCCGAAGGTCTGTCCTTGTACAATAATTGCACAGACACTCATTTAGGGCCTACTGCTGCTGGTTTGCTGCTTTGCAGCTTCTGAAACATGGAAATGTTGAATTCTAACATTGGTGTGTCACATATCAGACAGTTGACAAACAGCTCCCTCCCTCACTGCTGTTCTGCCTCTCTCTTATTTTCCTCCTGTACAACTGGCGGCACCCACTTACAGTCTACCATATTGTCACCCCCACCTCATCTTTGGAGCCCACGTGGCAGTAAGCTACAGCTGCAGAAACATCACTGCCTCTTGCTGCTTTTAGGAACACGAGAATATGCAGCCCACCGCACTACAGTTCACAGTAGCAAAATATAGCACAGTATAACATACTAACTCTCCTTACACACGGATTATCATCTATCCCTAAACTAATCCAATGCAGACTAAGTAATGCCTGCTGGAAACTTACCCTTTTAGAATGGCAGGGGTAACTTTCCAACACCCCTTTTATTAGCTCCTCTAAGCCATCTGACCTAAGTTTATAGGGTATGAAGTACATTATTAGTAGTTGGGTGCTATGGAAGCAAAATGGTGCATTTCTTCACCGGGACCATAAACTGCAAAGAGGCTGGATCCCTAGTCTTAACCATTTCCTACTTTATCCCCCAAAAAGTTACTTTGGCTTTACATACACTTTAGCTCTTTTACATAACCTTAACTTCCACATTTGTGAACTCCACAAGAAACCTATTAAATGTGTAGTGTTTTTTATGCATTTAATTTTTATTGAAGTTTTACAAAAATGTAACTATTTTTAATATATCTGATTTTTTATTTTTAAAACAAATCATTTTGAGTGATTTCCAGTTGGATAAGCTCCATTTTTGGGGGCTGTATTTAATTGGCTTTTGCTTAACATGTTTGATACAGACTACCCCTTTACATGGCCAGACAAAACCACATTGGGACTTTTTATGTCTTTAGTAATAGACTGATGAAAAACAGGAAGCTTGGAGTTGAAATACACAATTTCTCCCTTTTGTTGATCGCAAACACTGTACAAAATGCTGCTAATCCTTTGGTAGGTAAACAGGAGGAAAATACTGCTACCTAATCCCTTTGATGAGTATATGCTAGAATTGTCTTTTACTTTTTGTCTCATGGCCAAGTGTAATTTTTTTGTCTCAGTGTGAGAACACTGATAAGTGAGTTTTATCAGTTGGTGCATGGCTCTTTTCACTAGAAAATAAGCACCAGATCTGAAAACCAACTGAACTCATATGAGGATTGTTGTGCCCCTGGGAGAATAGTTTATATACCAAGCTGGGGGAGATATACTTCACAAGCTGTAAGCCGGTGTGCTGCGCTTGGTTGTGTGTGATCCACCTTTTAATTGGTCTTTAGATTGTGTGGAAAATGTGAAGATATCACAAACTAAATACAGTGCCAGTGATCAAATCCTAATTGCGGCTGTATACTGAAAATACAAGGTAAATGTGTTTGTGAATAAATATTATGTTAATGTAAATATCGCAAGATATGTGTAGCATATGTAAATAAATCAAATAAAATATTGTCATACTTCACAAGCTACTTCATTGTATACTTAATTATAATGAATAGACTTGATTATCACATTTTGTTCAGTGTAGAAAAGTCTTGTTCTTTTCTGTTCTATTATTTGGACCCTGCGCCTAGCCTTATTACTAATCTGATTTATATTCGGTTAGCTCTTCTACTTATAGATGGTACACTTATTCTTGGGAAGACTAATGTACTTCTCAGCATTGTCTCTTAACCTAGGTTTGCAGCTCCAAATTGTACCTCATTGGGATCTCCAAAAGACAGTTCATATCTCACACTTACTGGTGACCTACCTGCAATTTAGGTGTTGATGAGGATGCTGTGTACACAATCTATGCTTTAAATAAGGTTTTTCTCAGCACTACGATAGGCAACAAAAGTTTTCAGCAGGTCTTCCATTTCCATGTTAAATCCCCCATAATTTTTGATAGGGGAAGCAATTTACCCTGTTCCCAAGAATGTGCTGTGAGGTAGAAAGGAGAAGGTAAAGAACCAGCATCTCCCACAAACCTCCCATGGAAGCCTGCCAATTCTGCTTGTCAGAGGAGGAGAACCAGGGAAGGTGATGGCTACTGGAGGTGCCCGGAACATAGTGGACCTCAGGAGCAAGTCTGAGGTCTCTCCTGTTGAAGATTTGTGCTAATTCTTGCTCATCTGTTCTGTCATCTGCTCAAATATCTATTCACTTTGCTTCAAATGGATCCACATTGAATTGCTAAGAGGGACTGCTGAGTCTGGATACTGTGTCTGTCCTACCCTGGATGTCTAGGATCCCTATACCCTTTCTCCCAGAGTGAATATGTTTAATAAATGTTCTTCAGCATTATACTTTTGGCCTGGATATCAGCTTTTTGGACACTAGAAGAGGGTGGTTAAATTCTAATGGGGCAGCTGAATACTATAACACCTAGACAAACTAGTGATGACCCAGGTTATTCTGGCGGCTCCTTCGGGGTGACCTCTACAATAATAATAGTTTCTAGAGTGCAGTGCCTGACCAGCCAGGTCCTCATTGTTGCGGCTTATGCTCAGTATCTGTATTTTTTACTGTGCACTTCCAGTTCATCTATCCTGGATCTGTACACCTATAACTTCTACACAGTGTGTCCTACTCTTTTACTTGTTGGTTCTATTTGCACTAACACAGGGTAGCTAAACTGTCTTTGTGACCCAACCTTTAAGTATCTTGTGAGTATTGTGTGTTAGAGAGATACTAGTCTTTCTGGTTAACTGAGGTAGAAAAGGGTTCCACAATACATTTGGTCTTAATGATTAAATTAATGAATACTCAGATTATGACCATCTTTTGCTGATGTGCTAAAATGTGGAAATGTGGATGCAGACACACTGAATTGCCAGTAGTCATCTTTCAGGGAAAGTATTGGCTTTGAATGATGAAAGCTTTTATTGTGGATTGTGATAATTCCAAGGACCATACTCTGGGAATTCCACACAACAAAATCCAAGCCACCTTGTGGAGTTCTTGGCATAGACCTACATATAATGTAAAATGTCATATAATACATAAAATGTTTACCCCTTTAAATTAAAAACTAGGCATGTACCTAGAATTCCTACCTGACATTAGTCCTGTACTTTATGGCTGAATGTCTACCTTCTTTTAATATTTGCTGCATCTTATTTACTCCTGGAATTTATATTGCTTTATTTTAACCACATTTTTGCAATCTTGGTGTAGTTGAGAAATGTGTTCCATTAGTGAAATCTAAATATAATTAATAACAATTTTAAGTATTTCAAAATTGATTAACCTGTGCTAAAAGTCCCATTGTCTGTCCTGCAGGGACATTATGAGTGCTGAAGGCTCTGTGGTAGATGAACTACTAAGGATACATGATTCCCCAACATTACCAGAGGAAGCAGAGCATTCTGGGAATACAGTGAATGATGAATCAAGCGAAGATCAACCTCAAGAAAGTAACACTTATTTAAATTCTTTATTGACTGTACTGAATTTCTGTATGCGCAAGTATTATATGTAATATGCTTATTTATAAATGTTGTATTAGATTTGTTTTGATACGTTTTAGGCATTTGGGCAGTATTACCTTTTTCCAGACACTAAGGGGGACATATTATAATGACCTTTATAATGAAGGTTAGATATTGCTATCCACTCTGTTCTTGATTTCATAATGTTAGTATACACCACGCCCTCGATTTTATGGGCTATTCATAAAATATACAATGTTCCGAAATAAAGAGCACCAAACCAAAAGGTGAAAGAGTCCACAAGAGCCTTTAACTGTTTACAATGTAATCAAACAAAAAACAGCCAGAATATTTTGGGGCAACAACACGTACCCTTAGTGAGCCCTGGTTTGGCACCCTTTATTCCTGAATATTGAGTCGCTTCTAGTTACCAAACAAGGGAGAGCTGCATTGCCAGTACCTGTGGGCTTATTTGCAAACTTTCCTGCATCTGGACAATTTGAGTGAGCACAGAAACCCCAACGCTCTTCAGTGTGTTATGTTGGAATTCAGAAAATGCAGACTGTGGTGTGGAGTCTATTGTACCCAATACTTAAACCCAGCAAAGAGAATGTGATTGGAGGAAAGTCTTGTCACATGACTTTGGCAGGTCACGGGGCTCAGAATAATAATGCTATGCTGGATTAAGAGCCTCAAAGCCACGGGAGCACTAAGTACATTTGTAAATCACATCACTATGCATTATAAATGCGCAGAACACTTTTTTTATGGAGTTGTATGACCATTACAGTTTATAAATAGGCTCAAAATGTTTATAAATAGGCTCAAAAGTCAGCTATAAAAAAAAGTGTAATTAAGTGTAATTAAAGCCCCCCCCCCCCCCCATAAATTAAATACTAATTTAGTCTGGGGGGGGGGAGAGGGGGGGCGGACATCATACAGTAAAGGATCAGGGGGCCCGCCCCAGCTACTGCATTGTACATGATGTCAGTAAGGACCACATGTGTAACCAGTCATCAAGCGTGCAGGAGTGAGGAGTAAGTAATAAGTCATTCTCTGCCTAGCCAATCACCTCCCTAGACTAAAGAGCAGTTATTTATTAATATAGGCAGATTAGAAAAGATTTCTATTCTAGGTTTTCCTCTGGAAAATCATAAAATATATTTTTAAAGTATAGCTAATAAAATACCTAAATTTAGTTTTGTATCAGCTTTCTGTAATTTTCTGCTCAAAAGAGCTTTATCAATGTATTGATGCTTCTTCATTGACCTATTAGAGATACCCATTATGCACCCCTATTAAAAATATGGGGAGGGGATCCCTATGTCCTGTTATTTTTTCTTATTTACCTGTGTCTCAGATCCATATATGTTAAACGTCTGAAGAGTAGGAAGGGAGAGTTGAAGAGCAATAGTACATGGAGTGACTGGAACCAACATTAGTGCATTACAAGAAATTTAAATCAAGTAGTATGCCAACATTAATATTATAACAAGCAAACGCATCTTAGATACCAATTCAAGATCTTACATGAATGGTTCTTTGTTCTTACTAATGTTGGAATTTTATAATACTAATGTATGGACCAAGTGCAGGCATTGTATGACAGAACATGGATGTTTGTACACATATGATAATCTTGTTTTGAAATGAATAAAGTCTAGTCTAAAATATTATACCAGCAGGAAGAATGCCAAAAATCAATAGAATGCTGCATACAGCTGTCACTCAGTGCCACAGACTTTACTGCGATTCATTGTAAAAAAACTTTGTACAATGAACTGCAGTAAAGTCAGTGATACTGAGTGACAGCTGTATGTACCGGTGGCGGCGGCTGTGCAGGGATCCGATGCACACAGGCGGCTGTGCAACTGCCTGTCATTTAGGAGAACTGTTAGCATAACGGAGCCGATACGAGACATTGCAGGCACCGCCATGCAGCCACATCCTGCTGTTTGGCCGCCAAGGACGCAGGAGAAGAGGTGCTGCAGCCTGCATGTGTTAGGTGAGGTTGGTATGTAAATGTATTGCTTTGTAGATAAGCCACTAGAGGCATAAAAGGTTTCTAATTGGTTTTAATGTGGACCCCATCGCCTGTACATAAATTTGCCCTCAGGAACATAAACCACACCTATTACAGGCCTAAATATCAACGTGGTGCAGTCTGTGCAGGAACTTAATCCCTATCATTCTGAATGAGAAAAAACACTTCAAGTAGTGTGGGAGCTGGCTCTTTCCCTCCCACCCACACTCCTATTGGTGCATCCCTTTGATGAGCTGCCTCATTGGCCAACAAGAATCTAGGTGCTTGTATGTATAGCTTTATACATGCTGGCAGCTCTGTTCTTTAAATTGAGTTAACTTTAATGTAACAGAATTCACGAGGTAACATAACTACACATTATTAAATGACACTCATGTGTTCTAGATTCCTAAATCGTCACTATTTTACTTTAATCTAAGTTTTTCTCTTTTGTGGGTAGATAACAACTCTCCTCCACGTGAGCACCACCTGATGACTACAAGAGAACTCCAGCTTTACTGGCAGAAGGAGAAATATGATGGAAAACCAGTTAGGCTTCTTTTTCAAATCCAGTCAACTCGCATTGCTGAGGATTTTCTGTCCAAGTTTGTGGTAAGTTACTTCAAAATGAGTATAGTTAGATGACCAGAAATCTCTGTAGAGAAGTATAGTGCAGAATGTCCAGATTTACTATAGATGTTTTAGGTTCAGGGTGATACCTTGGCAAGCCATATTAATTATTCACATTAACCACAACTCAACAAGTTTTTGGTTGTACTTCCTATTTCATTTTCATAAACAGTATTTTGTAAGCATGGGGACACACCGTGACACAGAAAATGCGGTATAGGAGCATGCAATGTTGACATTCATAGCTGTTCCTCAAGCCTTGTTTAACACTAGGATGTTTTGTATCTGTATTTCATGTTACGGCAAGTCATATATACTAAGGGGAATTTTTGAAGCATAATATAGACACAATAATTCTAGTATACAGTAAGGACCCAACCAAAAATCAGGAAGTTGGTGGTTGAAAGAAATTACAATATCATATCTATGCATATCCATTATAAAAAGATACAAAATTCCCCCAGTTCCTACTTAAATAGGACCTAAACTGTGAAGGCTCTGCCCCCAAAAAACAAGCAGAAGACAAAGGACTAGTCACCAGTATTACCAGTAGCCTCCCTGCAGATGATCTTTTTCCCATTATTTACTTAGGGGTCTATTCACGAAGCTGCCGAAGGATCTGGCCGTAGCTTCGGCCAATGCCTTGTTCTGCACTGTGTGGAGGCGGCTATTTTAGTTAAGGAAGAAGATTTTGCTTCCTTGTGTCAAAGCAGTTACCCTCTCCCCCCTGATGACTGGTGAGCTGGGGTAATTGTCAAGAAGAAAGGTGGGGGATGCACTGAAACACAGAAAAGAATAAAGTAGAAGTAGGAAGATCATTACACTATGAATTTCTCTCGAACAAGTATAACAGTTAGCAGCACAGCAGTGACATTACCAACTCTCACTCCAAATCTTGTGAGATTAACGGTCAGAGGCATCTGTGCCTTTCACCCAGCAGATATACATCTATGAGCAGGGCCAGGATGAGACAAAAGGAGCACCTTCCCTGGGGATGCAGCTGGAGCAGGAGCATTTCCTGTTTCTGCTCCACCCAGCCGTTCCCTGCACTGGACAGATCTGAGCTCGAAAATTGTTCCAACCACAAGAGCTTGAGCTACAGTTTGCATTGCATACCACTAAACCGGTCTAGCAGCCTTTGCATGTTATTGACATATATTGTATGCATGTGTACTGAATTCAGCAAAGTCATGGGAAGTCTGTGAAAGGTGTGTGGAAGCTATCATGATTATTTTGGGTTAAATGTCATCATATGATGAAATTATCGAGCCCCTAACAAGTTACACATACTACAAATAAAACTGTTCATTTACAATGCTTATGATGCAGTTATTGAAAATTGAGAGACTCCTGCTAATCGTCTAATATGTCATTTTGGAGTTGTGCCATAAAAGCTTTAAATGTATAGTAACATAGTAGGTGAAGTTGAAGACACAGGTCTATCTAGTTCAACGTGTGTGTCTGTATACACTTGGCTCTAGCAGTTCCCATATTCTTCTATATTTAGTGAACTAAGATACTCGTCTAAAAGTTTCTTGAATTTATCTATGCTATCAGCAGATACTACTGACTGTGGAAGGGAATTTTTAGTATTCGCACAGTAAAAAACCACTTGCAAAGTCTAGGATTAAATCCCCTCTCTTCTAACCTCTTGTGGGGTCCTTGTGTCATCAATAAAGTTCTAGGTGTAAACATCATGTTCCTAATATTGTGGTCCCCATTTATGATTTTGAAAATTGCAATTAGGTCCCCTCTTTAGCGCCTCTTTTTTAAGGAGGAAAGTTTTATTTCTGGTGAGGCGATCTTCATAGCTCAGGCCTTCCTTCCTCTTTATTCTTTCTGTAGCCCTTCTCTGAACTCTCAAGTTTGGGGGTGTCATTACACACACACACACATGTGGGGGATGGCAAATAGCAGGGGAATCAGCAAAAAGCAAAAGAGCTAATGCTTCCCCTGCTACCTGCTGTTTTTTTATGTGTTTTGTCAGCGGCCGCTGTCAGAAAAAAAACCCACAACAGATAGCAGGGGAATGAATAGCTAGGATGCTATTGGCCATTTAAAATTGCAATAGCCAATAGCAGGCTGGCTAATGCACCCGCCCACTGCTGCTGTCATCAGCAGGAGGAGGACCTGAAGGAGAACCAATAGCAGCCTAGCTATTCATTCCCCTGCCTGTTTTTATTTTATTTTTTAAACAGAGCTAATGCTTCCCCTGCTATTTTTATTTGTATTCTGACAGCGGCCACCGAGAAGTGATGCAGACCAGCCGGGGGAGTAGAACATTAGGTATCCCAGAAAGGTTTGCTCTGCTAGATACAGCAGAGTAAACCTTTCCATGATAAAATGTTTCTCTTGTGGGCATCAGGGAGCTGCTATCTTATAGCGGGAGACTCCCGGAACGTTCGGGAGAGTTGGGATGTTTGTGTGCAGTTGAGGAGCATATCCTTTTAAATTATTTGGTATATCCTCATTTTGCAACCATGGCTGCACACACAACATACAGTAAAACTACTCAGTTAATTTAAATGGTGGATGCATTAACAATACATGCACATTTATGAGAAGCATGTCTTCTCTATCAAGCAGATCTATAGCTACTGGTAACAAATAATGTATTCAGTATACAAAGAAATCCAAAGAGTAGGGTCCACACTGATTACTAGAAAACCAAAGGTTATTCATACAAACAGATGCACAAAGTAGACAGCTGTCAAGATAAAAAGCCTTAACTCCTTAAGCCTGTGACACACTGCATGCGAAGCCATGCGGAGCAAAGCAAAGCTGCAAGGCGCGGACATTTGCATGCAGTGTGTGAGAGGTTGAGTAGCTAAAAGACTGCATCTTCAGCCATGCAGTATTGTGGTGTCATCTGCACTCCTTACAGTGATTGAACCTCAATTAACAGTGCTTGTAGTGATCACACGGATGGCGGCATGTTTTCCAGAATAATAGAAGATGGAGATCACCAGCACTGTGTATAAAGCATTAGATTAGTTTTCTTACTTATTGAAGAAAAACATCACAAATGGGGATGTCCCGATAACATTTATTTCATACATTACCTGTGGTACCTATGGACTACAGCCTGTAACACACTACACACAAAGCAGCAGCTCCTGGACCTTCGAATGCGCTGCTGTGTAATTTTCACCCCGGCGAGTCAGCTTGCAGAAGCGCACATAGCTGAGTGTGCTGAGATTAAATATTTAAACTTCAGCCAATCTGCTCACGTGTATAAACCCACACGTCAGGATGCCAAGTCCATTTTAGTTGTTCTGAGCAAGCCAATTGGCTAAAGATGCATAGAAGACAGAGATCACCAGCACTCATAGTAATGTCACTTTGTCGCCCTGAAGAAGGGACCCTGTTTGGGCCTGAAATGTTGGCTTAACGACGTTTGTGATTAGGGATGTCTCGATACCGATAGTGGTATCGCTGTCGGGACTGATACTGGGCATTTTCAAGAGTACTTGTACTCCTGAGAATTCCCCGATACTAAAGGCCGATACTGACCCTTTACATTTTTAAAAAGGATCGGCTGCCGAGGTCCCACGCTTGTGGGGACCTCAGCAGCCTGCTGTCCTTGGCAGTGCCTGGCCGGTCACATATCTCCTTCTCCTCCTTACCAGCGCAGGCACAGCAAAGGACAGCCCCACACTGAACAAACGGCCCCGGAGACGGCAGGAGACCAGCGCTCGATTGTTCAGCCCAGCAACCGATCGTTCAGCTCACCCTTTTGAGATCTGTGCACAGCCCTGGTGAGATGCAAACGCAGCCCTGGTGACATCTGTAGGCAGCCTGCTGAGACGCAAACGCAGCCCTGCTGAGACGCAAATGCACCCCTGGTGAGATTTGTGCGCAGCCCTGGTGAGATGCAAACGCCGCCCTGGTGACATCTGTATGCAGTCTGGTGAGATGCAAACGCAGCCCTGGTTAGACACAACTGCAGCCCTGGTGAGACGCAAATGCAGCCCGGTGAGACACAAACGCAGCCCTGGTGACATCTTTACGCAGCCTGGGGAGAAACTGTCCAAAGATCATTAGTCTGTATTGTTTTAGAAAAAATGTCACATGTTCCTTTAAGAAAATTGGTATCGGCAAGTACTTGAGAGAAAGTACTTGTACTTGGCCTTAAAAATATCAATTTGATACCACCTGGGGTGCAGGATAACAAATAATTTATAAAAGTGAATAAAGCTTATGGGGGTTATTCCCTTAGCTGCCGAAGGCAGCCGAGTGAATAACCGAGCCGAAGTTCTCTCTCAGGTCTGCTCCTTTACTCAGTGGGCAGGGCTTCAATAGCCAGCCTGCTATTGGCTATTGCAATTTGAAATAGTCAATAGCAGTCTGGCTTTTTCTTCCGGCTTGCTCACCTGTCAGCTGTGGAAGATAATTTGGAAGAGGTAAAAGTACAGAGATATATATTCTGTAAATACACAGTATATTTAGGGTTTAGATATGCTTTATGTAGGGAAAATTAATGAGCAAATGCAGAGCTCTCTCTAGTGGAATATCTGAAAATAACCTCTATAATAATTATATATAAGCACAAAAAGGAATACTAAGCATTTAAAGTGTACACATAGCATAAAAGTTATTTTAAAAATTTGTAACTAGCAACTCCATGCAGGTCAAAACTGACAACATTCTGCTTTTGCCTCTCAGTTGCTCTCCTACATTGTCACTCTGTCACATGTTTTTCTGACGCTCATTGCGCAGTCATGTTCTGCTATTGTCTCCATCCGGAAACCCATCCTGAACAATGACATTCACCCACCATGCATGTAGACGGTAAGTGAATGCAAAGACTCTGCAGTAGATTGTCAGCAATGAGATGCAAAAAAAGGGGAAAAAAGCTGAAAAGTATTTTCCACGAGAAAAAAAAAATGGCAATTGTTTTATATGCAGTTCTTTAACAAACCAAATTTCATCCAGTTAGGGTTCGCATTTACTTTAAGGTAAAAAATGCATTGTAACTCAATATATGTATTTATTGATGATGCTCTGCACATTTCCTTCAACAGCTGTACAAGATTGTGATCATCAAGACAGGAAGTTTTGACAGAAAAAAAGTCTTCATTGAACGGAGATACTCTGATTTTGAGAAACTTCATAGAAACTTATTAAAAAACTTTAAGGATGAAATGGAAGATGTGGTCTTCCCAAAGAAAATTCTGATGGGAAACCTTACTGAGGAGATCATTCGTAAAAGGATGGTTGCCCTTAGAGACTACCTTGGAGAGCTGTATGCTATACAATGTGTAAGGAAATCCTTTCAATACGCTGCGTTTTTTATAGAATCAGAGTTAGAGGAGGGCTACAGCTGTATCAGAGGAGGGCAATATAAGAGAGCTACAGAGTCACTGCAACAAGTTCTCTATCTTCAAGAAAAACTGGTTGAACACTGTCCAATCATGATAGTGCAAACTCTATGTGCCCTAGTTGTGTGTCATAAAGATATGGACCAATTAGAAAATGCTTATGAGATTGGATTGAGAGCACTGGAACTTTTAGAGAAACACTCAAGGCACAGATATTACAACCCATTATTGGACACTTTGATTTCTCTGGCATATAAACTAGAAAAAGACTTCCTGTCTTTACGGGAAAAATTAGAAAATGGGGACAATAGGTCCAGAAGGTCTGGCTATGAAGGTGAAATGATCACGCTAAAGGAGCTTGTAGTGAAGGAGAGGGTAAATACAGAATAATGGTTACAATTTTGTTATATACTAGAAAATGTCTAATATTACTGTCGTCACTGTAATTGTTGTTAAAATGCAACTTATTTCTGCAAAGTGATAAACATAATTTCACATGTATTATGGGGAACAGGTAACTAATGCTTTTGCAGTACACATATTCTAGGGAAGATTAACACAACCGGGGGAATGAAGATTTTGGACAGAGCAGACAACCTATATCACCCGTAAAATTTAATAAATGCTAACCTCTGATTTATATTTTATTAGTACTTGCTCTTTTTTCCCATTAAGTAATGTATGTATGTGTTTATTTTGTATTGTAAGGAAGAAATATACAACTGGTATTTGCTGTGGTAAACCATGCACAAGCAAACACAGAGAGGAACGGTCCAAGCAGATTTGTTTTGCAACTTTATACAGCAAGGCAACAAACACAGTTTTAATGCAGGAAGGCTTTGTCCATAGCATAAAACAAACAACACTTCTGCTTGTCTAAGCCACTAACTAAAATCAGGGTGCCCCCCTGATAGGTTCCACAACAATAATAGGCAGCAACTGTACCTTTTATGAGTGTTCTGTGAGCAGCCAGCCTTTTCACCCAGCAGCAGGCTCCCAGAGCAGAGGGAGAACAAGTGAGCCCCGAGCCTCTATCAGCTCAGATATATAAAGGCCTTTCGACTAGTGAGATTAATAATGAGGTCTGGCCACCAGTTAGAGTGAAGACCTAAGAATGGAGACTTTATCCTACCCATAGATTTACAAAGCCTTTTGGCTCCAGAACCCAGAACAGAACATATTAAAATCTAAGAAAATAAAAAGTTGGTTTTCCCCATATCAGCCATAAGTCCTGGAGCCCCTACCAGGTGTACCTAGGTGACATTTACACACTGTCCACAATCCTGCCAGCCAGTGCTTTACAGTATATACTGTATGTATTTATTGATCTAAATTTGCCCTTGTATGTGTTATTATTATGGACCTTAGTTATAGCAGCCATGAAATACAAAAAGCTTTATTTAACTAATATAGTTAAAATGACACTAAACTCAGGAGTTAAATCTTAAAAATGCATTCAAGTGCCTTAACTATTAACAATACTGTACTATATTTGTGTATCACTCAGCTCTAGATCCTCAAATCATCCCTGAATTTGTGCTGACACTACCCTTCCTTCTGGAGCGTGGCTACTTTTGTTCCCCATGGTCAATCTAAATGCAAATTAGCAAACTAAACATGAGATTGTAGTCCAATCAAAGCAATGGAAGCGCCGCAAAAAATCTCTCCTCACTGGGAAATCCTCTTAGGCTTACTGCAGGATGCTGCCCCCAAAGAAAGCCGGGAAAGCTGTGAAATCTGGGAAGAGAAGACAGAGGGGGCGCCTTTCCTGGTGCAGATCAAATTTATTTTCAATGGTCATAGATAAAACATAAGGTACTCACAAACATAGGTGAAAAACAGCCATAAAATGAAAGCTGGCAAGCAGATGGACATCCACTGGGGGCATCCTGTGTGCGGGTGACGTTGACGCGTTTCCGGGGCTTTGAGTTGAGGAGGGTGATGCCATGTTCTGACGAAGGGGGCGTGCCCCGGAAACGCGTCAACGTCACCCGCACATAAATTTGATCTGCACCAGGAAAGGCGCCCCCTCTGTCTTCCCTATGAGATTGTAGTCCATCACGGGAGCGAGCTTGGATTGGTGGCTTTTTTTACAACACACACAGGGACCATGGAGAACAAAAGTAGCCATCCTCCAGAAACATCCTGTGTGCGGGTGACGTTGACGCGTTTCCGGGGCTTTGAGTTGAGGAGGGTGATGCCATGTTCTGACGAAGGGGGCGTGCCCCGGAAACGCGTCAACGTCACCCGCACATAAATTTGATCTGCACCAGGAAAGGCGCCCCCTCTGTCTTCCCTATGAGATTGTAGTCCATCACGGGAGCGAGCTTGGATTGGTGGCTTTTTTTACAACACACACAGGGACCATGGAGAACAAAAGTAGCCATCCTCCAGAAGGAAGGACAGTGTCAGTATGAATTCAGAGATGATTTGAGGATCTACAGCCGAGTGATACACAAATAAGATACATTTTTGTTAATATTTAAGTTACCTGAATGCATTTTTAACAGGAGAACTATGAGATGAGTAATTTCCACTCACCTCATAGTTCTAGCCGACCTGTGACAATGAGACTGCCACAGGTCGGCTCAGTAGATCGGGAGGTGAGCGAACACATACCGGCGTTCGATCACCTCTTGGCTGGATTCACCCAACCCCGCTCCGATCCGCCAGCGCTGACTGGCGTAACAGGAGGGGGAGGGTACAGCTGGCTCTGCCTCTAGATAGGCAGAGCCAGCTGTCAGTCACGCAGCTGGGCGGATCCCGGCCCCATTGGCGGGGTCCGCTTCAGGTGCGAGTCACGCAGCTGGGCGGATCCCGGCACAATTGTCGGGATCCGCTTCAGCTGCGGCATCTTAGTATACCGCGAGCAGCAGCTTGCGGTATACTGCGGCGTCTCAGTATACCGCAAGCTACAGCTCGCGGTATACTGAGCCTAGGGTGACGGGAGTACGCTAGTTTGTGTCCTCCCGTTACCCTAAGGAGAACTATGGGGAAAAGCCCCATAGTTCTCCTTTAAGTCTCCTGAGTTTAGTGGCAATTTAGAGCTGACAAACTGATTATGACTGCATTGCATTCCTTTTTTTAACTGTTAACATATTTCATAGCTGGCCTATTCCACTGCATTATCTTATAAATCAAGTCTTAAATGAAACAGTTGTCATAACAGACAAAAGGGTCAATTCACAGTGCATTTTTTCCTGATTTTGCTCGTTAGTTAACAGATATTGCACGATATTTAAGCTTGGGCAATTCACCAAACGATTCATCGAATGGAAAATCAACCAATTAACGTCTCTCTTCTTTTTGGTAATTTATCGACCGTTGGACAATCGTGACATAAGCACCTCTTTCAGAGTGTCGATATGACAGTTTTCAGGTGGTATTTTCTGCTCTGAGAGGGAGATTTGTGAGATGAATTGATAACTTCTGGTAGTGAAGCCTCTTTTTTGCAGTTTTTGGAAGATGGAACCATTTGCCTGTGTTTTTATTAGATTTTATTATTATAATATAAATATATATATTTATGGGGTTGTATTTTATAAACATGTAGCATGTAAACTTCAACAATTTAAAAAAAAGTTGTTTACATACAACCGTGCAGTCTGTTGAAAATTTGTCATTTTGTAGGCACTGTTCTCCTCCCTTTCTGGTCCCAGAATGCATCAGTCAAACATATTTTAACTAAATGAAATGCAAATTGCACTGCGCTTGAGTTAGTGATCTATATAAAATGTGATACAAATCCAAAAAATTGTGTCTTTGATGCAGAAACCACTACATTCAAGTGTGGCATATAATAAAGTGATAAATATCTACAAGAAAATTCAATCTCAGCAAAGGTACAAACCCGTGATATTCACAAGTTGCATGTGTAAATAAATAAATGTCTTACAACCAAATGAATCATATAAACAACAATCTATAAAGTGTAAAGTGTCATAA